TGTAGATTAAAGTATAGAAATTGTTTTAAACAGGTCAACTACAAAATATTTTATGAATATAATGTACTTGTTTGAAGCTAAGAGTCTGCAATATCTGGCATCCATCAGTTTACCGTCATAGAAGTAAGGTCCTATGATTTTGGTATCAAGAATTCTAACCTAAACATTTATTGAAAACCTTGAAATGCAGTTTCTCCCTCAAGCTGAAGAGGTGCACTTTTATCACCTTATAACATTTGAAACCTAAATTGTAGTTCACTTCAATCTCTTACTGTTTTGCTCATTTTTTCCTATTTACATTATTTAAAATTCTGTTAACAACAGCTGACTTTATTAGGGAAGGTTTTCTACATTTCGCAAGTGCTTGAATAGAATTGAAATTGCATTGATAGTACCTACAATACAAACATATTACACTTCTCAATATGTGAAAATATCATTATTATTCAAAATTTTAGTTTTTCAAATCACAGTTAACTGTAATAATTTCCAAACCAACAGTTATGTGTAAACTATAACAATAAACAATTTGTTAAATAATGACATTTACTGGGATAACACATTTGTTTTCATAGCGTGCTACATTTAGCGTAAGCTACTTTGTCTGTGCAAGAACAATGTTGAAGGCTCAGTTTTCTCTAAAGTAAACAACCCAGGGTTCGATCGAAAAAAATCATACAAAGTTGTGGCCGAAAATATGTGATCGTCATAAGGAATACCTACGTTGTATACATCTATTTTTTTTTACCGGAAAGCGCTCGCTACTAACTTTAAAGAGGGGAAGTATGGTTTAATTTATAAAACAATAGCAGAGTAAATACACCTAACTTTATTATTTACGTACAACAGTCTTCAAATTAAACATGTGACAAATAGAAAGAACAACAAAAACATTAACAACCATTTAACATAAAATGAGAGTGCCAGGCTCACCTAGAGCTCCTGTGGGGAAAGAGCATGGCAGAGAAACCCACGATCGTTGCTCTAACTACCCAAATATAAATACAAAACAACCGCTAACAAAAGGCATAAATTAAGATCCTTTGCTAATGATAAATAAGACCTGACTGATTTAATGTGTCACTAAATGTTACCTCACTCGAATTAGACATACACACTTCCAAGTAAAACTGAAGAGGTTTGGTGTTAGTTAGCCGGCAGGGCCGGAAGGTACTGGAGTCCCATACGGGAGGCAATCTAGCTATAATTGAGATTTCGGAAGATATGTTTTAGCAATTATTTTTTTGTATTTAATTATTCTTTTTTTTCAGATTCGTCCCTCAAGGGCGAAAATGTTAGTGAATTCAACAAGGCTCTTATATGCGTCTGACATAAAGTGAACTCAAGAAATGCTTTATTACTTGTTTTTCGAACAACGTAATCATGAGAAAAACAAGTTAGATGTGAAACAAAGGAGTTGTTTTTACAACATCTGAGCAGTCACGACAAGATATACATATTTTAACATGTAATAAATAATGAGCAATCGTTAATAATAATTGTAACAATTTTATCTTAGAAAAATATACGCCCCTGAGCGTAAGACAATGAAGGCTAAACATATACAGAATTTTTATCATGAAATATCTATAATCATCACAATCATAAGATTACATAGAACAATTAACAACAAAGTACTTAAAGAATATTACCTGCTAACTAATACCGGTTAAACACTATTTTTCACTCTTTTGTCACACTGCCCGCCGATCGTCTTACTACCTATCTGCACACTGTTCTTACTTCAACTCCCTATCTTAAAACTCTTTTGGCTTTCTTCCAGAATGCCCCACCTAGGCGTTTGCTTTTTTGCGCTTCCTTCTACCAACCATTAATATTACTTTTTCATTATTATACAACATCCATGTAACAGGTGACGTCGAAGTTGATAAGTATGGTTTTGCTTAAAAGAAGTGCATTATATTTATTAAATTTTTTATAGTTGACACGTGTCTATAACAATTTCTACGTTAACACGAAAATGTTTACATTTGTTATACCAAAATTATAAAAAATCTAATAAATATAAAAGATATAGGCAACATGTAGTACATTGCATGAAAGAGGAAAAAACAAGCAATTTTTTGTAGCCACAGTCTGCTTCGATGACAATTTTTTTTTTGCCCGCCTAGAAGGCACAGCAAATTACATACGATATTTGAACAATCTGTTTGCACTAGGTGAAAGATATCAGTTTTGCTATGAAATTTTATTAAAAGAAGTTTTCTCTATCTCTTAAAATAAAAAAGTTAGGCGGCCCTAAATTTTCGGTACTTTTCCGGTTTTTTTATGATTTCTCATAAAGTTGGCCATGGATCTCAAATTTGTTTTTACGAGCATAAAAGCATAAAAAAATGCAACAAAAAACAGAAAGATTTTTGACGTGCATCGTATATTAAGCGAGATTCATAGGAGTGGCCCTCTTATAGTAGACGCAGGGCAGTATATATGCAGGGTGAGTAATTAATAATGGTACACAGCTAATTAATGACAGATTGTTAACGTCAGAATATAGTGATTAAGCCCAACATACCTTAGTAAATTGTAGCTCCTTTTCGTTCTACAGGGTGTTAAAGTTGAAAAATTATTTTCGATTTTTTTGCCATATTTTAAGTATGTATGGACCGATTGTTTTAAAAATTTGTAGTTTACTTTTTTTGAGGTGTCAAATGCGAATATGCAAACAGTGTTGGGGTCACGTCTAGGGGGCGCTAGTTATACTGTCCAATCAACGTAAAAATATGTTCAACTTTTGGTATTTTACAATATTGAATTTCTTAAATAGAAATTATTGAACTACGTTCAATTCTTAATAAAAAAGTTATACAGTGAAATCTCTCTTGAGTGAACACCAACAGGACCGACTGAAAGTGTCCCTTCAAGAGAGGTGTCCGTCTAAAAGAAATACATAAAAAAAATCGTTTTTTTAATGAAAACTAATTATAGAAATTGGGACATCAAAAACGTATATGTATGTAAATGTTTTTAAAATAAACAAATAAACTTAAAACTTAAGGAAAAAAAATAGAAATTTGTTACCTTACAAAATACATACAAAATATAATAGAATATAGTTGTTTAGTTTTCATTATTTCTTATTTTTTTGTAATAATTAAACTTGTTAATTCGTAGACAATTAGTTGCATTCAAATATAAATCGCCGTTTCTTTTTATTTTTTGCATGATTTCTTGTAGTAATTTTTTTGCGCGAGATAGGCGTGCGACTAGTAGAAAATATAGACTTAATCTCGCCTCCGAGAGATAAACGTCCTTTTCGCTGTGCGTTTGTGCTTGGAGAAAACCTTTGAAAAATTATATTTTTGTGTGTGTGCCGCTGTGTGGTCACCCTGTGCTCCCTGGCGGTATCGACTACTGAGGGCCCTCTGAAGACGGGTCTAACTGAAACCAATGGTAAGTCGCACGCCACGTTTTGTACCAATACAACTTTGCGTGCCCTGTTCCATTTAGCTGGAGCTGAGGAGAATTCATTTATTGCATTTTTTTCATTGGTCCTTCGAGCCGAGATTACGTAATATTTACGTATTGGTTCATTTGAATGCAATTAAGTAATTTTTACATTTTTTTTTAAAATATTCAGTTTTAAAAATCGCCGCCATATTAATTTGAATATTGCCGTTACATTCTACACATGGTTCGTCCTGCCCCTGTTTCTGAAGATCCCGGTGAAAGAGTGGGAAATTTAATTTGCGCACGCTTGAGTGAATCGCCACGCGCCGTGGTAGTTTTGAGAACTTGATCGCTGAGTTTCTCATCGAATCCCGGTCGCACGCTACTTTTGACATTCTTTGTTTACACGCTTAAGAATTGCTTCAGTTTTCGCTACTTGTTCAATTCGCCATTGCTATACGTACTCGCATATTTAACTATTACGCTTAATAGGTACGCTAATACGCATATATTACATATATTTTCTTATTATAATGGCTGAAAAGGTTAAGAAAATCAACGCTTTGCGTCAAATTTATAAAATTGAGAATATGTGTCACGCCGCAGAAGAGGGCCGCGTTGATATTAACGCACGGAACTTATTTAAAGCTATATATTCTTCTGTAGAAGATATTAAATCGGAATTTAATAAACATCATGTATCTTTAATTAACATAATTTTTAATGACGAGGATGAATTTAAAGACGCGTTGGCAATAATGCATGAATTTGATAAAAATTTTTTTCGAATTAAATCCATTTTTAACGCGTTGTTCAGTGCAGATGCGTCCCCAGTAAATCTCGCTGAAATTTCTAGTAATGTCAGTTTACCTAAACTTGATTTACTTAAATTTAAGGGTGATATTGAATCATTTCCTGCCTTTAATTATAGATATGTTTAATTCGATAATACATAAAAATCCTAAATTAACTTCCATAGAAAAATTTAGTTTTTGATATCATCACTAGAAGGCCCTTAAAATTGTTAAATGTCTGCCAATAAGAGCCTCTAATTATGAAATCGCCTATGACAGCCTTGTTAAGCGTTACCAAAACAAACGGTTGCTTGCTCAAGCACATTGGTCTGCTATCGAGGAAGCTCCGGTACTGCGCTCGGAAAATCCATATGATTTGCGCAATTTATTGGACATATTTTCCGAAAATATAGAAGCTCTTCGAGAACTCCAACATCCGGTAGACCAGTAGGACTTTATATTGGCTCATATGTTGTTAAATAAAATATCTTTTGGATTGCTTGACATAGGCCAGTCATTATAGCTTTTTTTCGGGAAAAAATATTATTAGAAGTTTTTTTGCGGAATATTGTTCAGAAACGTGTTATAAACAAAATATCAAAAAATCAACTCGAGTCTAGTTGGGAAACTTTGTTAAAACAATGGTCAAAGTTATGGAAAAGTGTTTTTTTGACTCGCGTAAAAAAACAGTTATTCATAGAGAAAAATGGTTTATACAAAAAAGGTAGGTATTAAATAAATCTGTAAAATAAGACAAGTTCGATTAAATTCCGATAATTTGTTTATGCGCAAGAGCTCAAAAATGGTCGAAAATGGCCGTTTTCTTCAATTGCTAATAATTAATGCAATTTTCATCGCAGACACTTATAATTCAGGATTTTGGAGGCTTTTTGTACCCTTAATAAGTGGTAAAAATTTCAGCCCGAAAGCTTCATTAGTTTGGCGTTGGCGGAATTTTTATCTAAGAAGATGCTATTTTCAATTGATTTTTCCCAAGCTCAAAGGTGTTGCAGAGTTTCAATCATTAGTTGTTTTTGTACCTAAATAGTTGTATTGACATATGCATTTACTGAGAATTGAAGTTTTCAAATTTAATTTGTTCAAAAATGACTGAACAAATGTTAATATTTATTAAATTGTTAGGATATGTAATTATTATAAAACGAAATACTAACGTCTATAGTTTAGTTAGTACTATTTTTCGTCGAATTTAAAAACAAATCGTTGTTCTAAGTTGATTAGAAGCTGAGACAATATTTTTTTTAATCGCAGTGTCCTTAATTATTAAGAGCCGAAATTTGGAGACAGTATACATTAAAAGCTATATTTTCATGTCCTACATTAACATTAATGTGAATTCAACTTGTAACAAAGTCATTTTTCGACACCCCACATTTGTTTTCTTTTCATTAAATTCTATTAATAAATATAATTTACCGCACCGGCATTATTTTTTTGGCATTTCAAACGCCGTACGTCACCACGTAGCACCAAGCCTATAGCCGAAAAATCCACGCCGCGACACCGCGGAAGGCAGTAGTCCACCAGCCAGTGCCGAGACCAGTCGTGCCGATCTCCAGCCTGCCGTCTAGCCAGCGATACGTCACCGCCTGAGTAAGAAGTCCCGCTTCCCAGACAAGGGACTTAGGAAAGAAGCTGAATTTGGAAATTCAGTTCCCTGCCAGCCGCCGTCGCAGCCAGTCGAGCCGTTTCAGCCCAGCCTACGTCACCAATAGGAATTGGTGAGATTCTGCTAAGTCCAGCCTGGCAGACCCGCGCAGCCGCCAGAGACCACTCCATCTCCTGTCATCACCAGAAGCCGTCCAATCCGACAATCAAGGTAGTCACCGCTCAACACCGCACCGTCATTTTACCATTCTTCGTAGTAACCCCCTGTATATAACCATAGTCATTTGCCACCGTTTAGCAGTAGAGATAGAGTAATATAGTGTAAATAGGTAGCTTTGGACTAAATAAATGTAAATATATACCCATTGTGTGACTTTTATTCCTGTGTGAAGTCTAACTCTCTCTAGACCCTCTGGACATACCGTGTTTTCACTGCAGCCGCCCGCGTAGTGGTGTTTCTGCACTTTAAACAGAATCTGGCGCCCGAGGAAACCGCCGTCGCACAGGCGTCATAGTGACGAACGACGAAAATACCAACCAAGCACGTCACAAATTTGGCGCCCGAGCAGGGACCTAAAAGAGAGAGTTAGTGAAGATTTGGAGATTTCGACCGTTTTCGAACCGTTCCGAACCCGGCCGAAGACGTCAGAAGCCATCTGGACAACGCCCGAAGAAATTGGAGATCGAACCTAAGTATCAAGAGTGTTAGGACACGAGAAGACCGCACTTTCGACCAGAAAGTCCGAACTCCGCCCGAACTTTTCCGAAAGTGCCCGAAGCAACCCGATCTGAACAAATCCGTGTGGGGTATCGTTTTCGTGGTAATTCGACCCCAGGAATCGATTGGTGACACTGGCAGTTGAATCCGATCAGCCGTTTCGAAGATAGGTCTGCCGCAGCGAAGTGGGAAGCCGAAGCCAAGAAAAACCAGAAGCAGCAAGCCGTTGGAATCCCAAGACATCGTCCAGACCGTTTTTTACCGCCCTACCGGATTTGGCCCGGAACTCTTGGCGACTCCGGTCGAAATTTTTAGCAGACGTGTGACCCCTAGTGGAATAGTAACTTAGGGACGTAGAATCGATTGCCGTTGGTTTCATCCCGATCCGACGAACCGTTCTGGAAAACCGTTTACCAAACTCACAAATCTGACTGAAATTTGGTGAAACCTACCTTCGGCGATCCCTGGCATTCCGGCCGACCATATATTAGAGACCGAACCCGCCACCCCGGATTTTACCCGGAATTTCGGAAAATCCGGTGTCAACCCGTACCTGGCTTGTGACCCCTCCTTTGGCAGTAAGTCGAAGGCGCAGAATCTAACGCTGATAGTTTCAGCCCGAACTACTCAAGCATTGATGAGATAGCACCTAGAGAGTTAGTGTTGAGACCGCAAGCCAAACAGACGTATCAACTGGAAGAGCTCCGCAGCTATCACCGCCCGGAGAGTTGGTGTTGAGACCGCAAGCCGAACAGACGTATCAACTGGAAGAGCTCCGCAGCTATCACCGCCCAGATAGTGGGTTCTGAGACCTCAGACCGAGCAGACGTGCAACTGAGGAGCTCCGCAGCCTTCACCACCGCAAGACCGGAAGCAGACATGATGTTCAGCGAAGAAACCCGAATCTTGTCCGACCCTGAACCAGCCGTAGAACCCGGAAGCTCCGACTTGACAGATTTCCGACTGAGCTGGATATATAAGCTCAGAAAGGAACAACTAGACATGGAACTGGAGAAATTCCGCCTAGACGTCTCCGGGACCGTAGAGGAAAAGAAGAAACGACTGGTGAGGTTCATTAAAGACGGATGTGCATCACCGCAACCCAGGCACACCGCCCCCGCTTTCGTCGTACCACCACCACCGCCGCTTGTCGTGCCAACCACAGCAGGTGGACCGCTGGTCAGCAACCTTTCAGCCCCGCTTAGCATCAGAACAGTATGTGAGAGAGTAAGGAAGTGGAACCTGCACTTCAATGGAAGGACCGATCCTGTGGAGTTCTTGGAGAAGCTCTGCGAATTCCAAGAACACAGCGACATACCAACGTCGGCCGTATTACCCGCCCTGTACGAAATATTTCAAGGCAACGCTCTAGCCTGGTACCGGAACAACCGCAACTTATGGAACTGTTGGGACGATTTTATTGGCGACTTCAAACAATTCTACCTGCCCGCCAATTATGAATCGTTCCTGGAAGAACAAATATTCCAGCGCCGCCAGAAAGTAGGGGAGTCCGGCCGAGACTATCTAGTCTCCTTACAGACTTTGCTACGCCGACATGGAGGATTCTCGTCTGACCGAGCCCTGCAACGACTGTATGGAAATTTGCTTCCCGAATACCGGCAGTACATCCGCCAAAGCGAGATCCAGAGTCCACGTGACCTGATTCGTCAAGTGGAGGAATACGAAGCTCTGCAGAGAGAGATCGCGGCTAACCGACCTGCCAAACCAACCGCGCCATCTCCGCCTAACTTCGTCCGCAACCAGGCACCAGTAACTGTTCGACCGCCCGTAACACCACCACCAGCAAGGACCCAGACAACTCCGTCAGTGAGATCTGATCCGCCAAGAACCACCCGACCAGAACAAAGACCGATTGAGACAACCCCGATTAGACCGCAGAACAGGAGAGACGTCCAAACACCAGAAGAACAACCGTCGACTTCCGCCGCCAACGTCACTTTTGACCGGAACGCTATGTGCTTGCGTTGTGGGAAGAGTGGACATTTTCGAAGTCAATGCCGAGCACCGCCCCGCCTTTTCTGCTCCCGATGTGGACAGTCTGGAATCATGACTAGGGACCGCTCGTGTTCCCAGTCGGAAAACTAGACCGGAACCGTACCGTTACGAGGCCTGTACCGTTCCGCCCTAGTCTTGCCTCGCAAACAATATCAGCCAGCTACCCGGACAATCGACCGCACGTACCAATCCGGATTCAGGGAAAGACCTTCCTGGCCCTGATAGACACCGGAGCTGCACGCTCTTATGTAGGAGATCAAATCCGTCAACTAGGCCTACATTATGAGACCGCTACCGCACCAGCCGTTCAGCTAGCAAATGGTAACTTGGTGACAGTGACCGAGGTTTACCAAATCCAATTCCGGATAGGGAGTAAAGAATTTGAAGAGAGGCTATGGTATCTTCCGAATTTATCCTCCGATGTTGTGCTAGGAATGGACATCCTGCACAAGCACAATTTCTTGATAAATCCGTCCGCTGCCACCGTTAGCCTGGATATACCGTCATCTCGTCAATACCCTTGGAGGTTCTGTCGTCAACCCCAACACCAACGGAGGAAGAGAAGCTAAAATCCTTCTTGGAGACCGAGTTACCTGGCTTCAAGGATTTACGTGGTACTACCGGATTAATACAACACCAGATCCGCCTGTCACAGTCCGAACCAATCAAACAAAGGTACCGCCCGCAAAACCCGAAGATGCAGGACATTATCAACAAGGAAGTTGATGAAATGTTGCACAACGGGGTAATAGAGCCGTCCGACAGTCCGTGGAGTTCACCCGTCGTCATCGTCCGCAAAAAGGATGGAAAACCTCGATTCTGCATCGACTTCCGAAAAGTCAACGAGGTTACCGAGAAAGACGCCTACCCGTTACCGTACATCAACGCGATACTGGACAAGCTCCGCAAGGCCAGATATATCTCCAGTTTAGACCTTAAGCAGGGATACTGGCAGATTCCACTTACTGCCGAGAGCAAACCGATCACTGCTTTCACCGTCCCCGGCAGAGGCCTGTTCCAGTTTAGAGTCATGCCTTTTGGACTTCACTCGGCTCCAGCTACATTCCAACGACTCCTAGATAGGATCATTGGACCGGAAATGGAACCCTATGCGTTTGCCTACCTGGATGACATCATTGTATTAGGGGAAACCTTTGAAGAACACCTGGACAATTTACGAGAAGTATTCCGCCGACTACGAATGGCTAACCTGCAGCTAAACCCCGACAAATGCCAGTTCTGCAGGAAGTCGCTCAAATACCTAGGACATATCGTCACCACCGAAGGGATTCAGACAGATCCTGACAAGGTGGACTCGATCAAGAAGTTCCCTACCCCCCGAAACATCAGAGACGTCCGCCGCTTCCTAGGAATGGCGTCCTGGTATCGACGCTTTGTACCGGCTTTTTCCCAGATTGTGACTCCGTTAACTCGACTATTCCGGAAAAATCACCGTTTCAAGTGGACCAGTGACCAACAAGACGCCTTCAACCACTTGAAGAACTGCTTGACCGAAGCTCCGACTTTAACCTGTCCGGACTTCGAGAAACCGTTTACCCTCCAGACCGATGCCTCCGATCATGGACTGGGATAAGCTCTGACCCAGAATATCGACGGAAACGACCGAGTGATAGCGTATGCCAGTCGCACACTGTCGCCTGCCGAAAAGAATTACTCCGTCACTGAACGAGAGTGTTTGGCTATAGTGTGGGGCATAGAGAAGATGAGACCGTATCTTGAAGGCTATCACTTCACCGTCCTGACCGACCATCAATCTCTGCGATGGCTGCATTCCATCAAAAGTCCTGCCGGCCGTCTAGCCCGATGGAGCGTATTCCTGCAGCAATACGACTTCGAAATTAAGTACCGCAAGGGAACCCTAAACCGAGTAGCCGATGCTCTGTCCCGTCAGCCGATAGAAGGAACTTCTTCTGCACCAAGTACCGGAGAACTATGCGTCCTGAATGAGCCGCCAAACTGTTCATGGTATAGCAGAAAGAAGTCGGAAGTCGAAAGAAACCCTGAAGCATTCCCGGATTATTGCATACGCAATAACCGTCTGTTCCGCCACTTCTGGGATTCAAGCGACTTAACCGAACCCGATCTATCCGATCCATGGAAGCTATGCGTCCCCATGCCGCTCCGCTCAGCGGTTTTGCAAGAGAACCATGATGCTCCGTCCGCTGGACACATGGGAATTGCTAAAACCATTGCTCGCATATCACCGAAGTACTACTGGCCTGGTATGTTCCGCTATATCGCCAAGTATGTACGAAGTTGTATGCAGTGTCAGCGGTACAAGCCTTCGCAGCAACAAACTGCGCAGAAAAGGCAATCGTCCGTCAACCGTCAACCATGGGACACCACAAGCACCGAAGTTCGGCCTGTTTCCGTTCCAACATCAGGAGTTTCCCTAGAAGTACCGCCCGCAAGAATTCTGGAAAACCAGCCAGAACCTGACATTCAACCAATCCGCCCGCCGCCACGATCATTGACAGATTATCCCACCTATCTACCGGTAAAACGACACAGGTTATGTTGGAGATGTGGATATCCTGGCCATACCCGTCAAACCTGCACCCGGACACGCCGCTTGTTTTGTTCCCGATGTGGGCAATATGGTATAATGTCTAGAGACTGCCCATGCGAAAATCGCCCGCAGAATGTCACCAGCAGAAGCCGCCTGTCCGCAACACCTCGACATCGATCCCGTTCACTTCCAGGACACCGTACCGCATCAAGAGGGGTGCAAGTGTATTTCCCCGACATTTTCCGACGATCGGAAACCATTTCCAAGAGCGTCCAATGTGATCTCCTGCCTTGAGACTGAAAATCCGAAAGCAATCAGAACCATTTTTATGTTAATTTTCTATTTTTTCAGGGATGTTTTGCTTTAAAGAATGTTAAATTTTGTATAGATGCTTGATTTTGATTTAGCTAGTTCTTAGTTCTTGTGAAAAGTGAACATACCCCAAAATAAAGTTTTTTTAACCTGCGTGGGGTATGCGCTTTCTAAAATTATGGATAAATTTAGGAAAAAAATAATAAAAATTTCATTTTCATTTTTTTTAGCGGAAGTAAGAGGGGGGTGTAACAAAGTCATTTTTCGACTCCCCACATTTGTTTTCTTTTCATTAAATTCTATTAATAAATATAATTTACCGCACCGGCATTATTTTTTTGGCATTTCAAACGCCGTCCGTCACCACGTAGCACCAAGCCTATAGCCGAAAAATCCACGCCGCGACACCGCGGAAGGCAGTCGTCCACCAGCCAGTGCCGAGACCAGTCGTGCCGATCTCCAGCCTGCCGTCTAGCCAGCGATACGTCACCGCCTGAGTAAGAAGTCCCGCTTCCCAGACAAGGGACTTAGGAAAGAAGCTGAATTTGGAAATTCAGTTCTCTGCCAGCCGCCGTCGCAGGCAGTCGAGCCGTTCCAGCCCAGCCTACGTCACCAATAGGAATTGGTGAGATTCTGCTAAGTCCAGCCTGGCAGACCCGCGCAGCCGCCAGAGACCACTCCATCTCCTGTCATCACCAGAAGCCATCCAATCCGACCATCAAGGTAGTCACCGCTTAACACCGCACCGTCATTTTACCATTCTTCGTAGTAACCCCCTGTATATAACCATAGTCATTTGCCACCGTTTAGCAGTAGAGGTAGAGTAATATAGTGTAAATAGGTAGCTTTGAACTAAATAAATGTAAATATATACCCATTGTGTGACTTTTATTCCTGTGTGCAGTCTAACTCTCTCTAGACCCTCTGGACATACCGTGTCTTCACTGCAGCCGCCCGCGTAGTGGTGTTTCTGCACCGCCGTCGCACAGGCGTCATAGTGACGAACGACGAAAATACCAACCTAGCACGTCACAAACTATTTAATGGCAAAAAAGAAGATAGCGGCGATGCGTTCTATTACTCGGTCTAGCGAACGAGTGGGAAGAGCGAGGCTAAATAAAAAATTAAATCTCGTGTTCAAATAATGTTAATACCATAGCTTCAATGCTCATGAATTTTCGCGCTACCACAAATTAAAAAAATAATCATCTCGATAGGTTCATTATTAACCGAGATATGGCTAATTTTTCCAGCTTCATCGATTTGAAGCCGCTCGATCATTTTCCTACGCGCTACCAGGCGCGTAGCGCGCATGCTCCGCCTCGTTCTTCCCACGCGTTTGCTAGACCGAGTAATAGAATGCATCGCCGATATATTCTTTTTTGCAATTAAATAGCTGAATTCACCTTAATGTTAATGTAGGGCATGAAAATATAGCTCTTAATGTATACTCTCGCCAAATTTCGGCTCTTAATATTAATAATTAAGGTCACTGCGATTAAATAAAAAAAAATTTATATCAGCTTCTAATCAACTTAGAACAACGATTTTTTTTTTCAAAATTCGAAGAAAAATAGTACTAACTAAACTATAAAGGCACTATGTCATTTTATAATAATTACCTATTAATAAATATATATTATATATTATACAGGGTGATTCAGAACTTATAAAAAAAAATCTGGATGTACAGGGGATCCTTGCAAATACAATTTTATAAAGAAAAAATCAAAAAGGTCAGTTCGAAATTGATTTAAAAATACACTTCTGCACGGCACTGGAAACTGGTCCACTGTAAAACCTGACCCCGCACAATGAGACCGGTATGGCGGCGTGATAAAAACGGACAAAAACTTTCGCAAGGAAAGAAATATGTAAATAGAATTTTATCGCACCTATTTTATATCGGCAAATTCAA